CCCGGGTGCTCCCCGAGTCATCCCCGTGCGCCTGTGGATGTGGGGTGTTGGGGTGGAGGTGGGGCAGAAGGTCCTGGCCCAGTAACCAGACAGGGTAAGTAAAAAGCAGGCTAGCTGGCAGCAGATCTGGGGTGCGACAGGCCACTTGGGGCCTGGAAGACAGGTCCAGCCCGTGCATGTGGGAGTCCCTGGCCCCACCCAGCAAGCCCTGGCAGGCGTCTGTTCCCTAAGCCCAGAGCAGCGACAGAGGCAGAGTGCGAGTATGTGCCCTGCGGAGCAGGGGCGGGGCCGGCACTGGTGGGATGGGGTCATTTCCCCCTTCCTACTGTTTATTGCCCTTGATGCCCAGCAGCCTGGGCCTGGGAAGGTGGAGGGCCTGTCTGCCAGTGCCAGTGCCCAGACTCACATGCCTGCTCGGAGACCCCAGGGCTCCTGGAGATTGCCCCTGGGAGTGAGGACTTGGCTTGCAGGACCCTGGGTTCTTTTCGGGGAGGGAGTACTCAGGAGTCTGTGGAGAGAAGTGCAGGTCGTGTGACCCCGAGGTGCCCAGTTGTGGGTCCCCTCCCCAACAGTGAGCCCTGGGGTGGCGTATGGCGCCCTTTGTGAAGGGGAGGACTGGCGTAGAAGGTGCTTTCCAGGGCCTGTGAGCATTGACGGGGTACTCAAAGCAGCAGGAGAGAACAGGGTGGTGGACAGGAGGGGGAGGGGCTATGAAGGGGTGATCCAGCCTGGAGATCCTGGACGGGGCGTCCTTGGGCGTGGGTGGGTGGTGAGGAGGGAAGCTCACACAGTCCTGGCCCCTTGTCCCCTCTGGACTCACAGGACCAGGCTCACAGCAGCCTCCCCACCGGTCTCCCAGCCTCACTCCCCCACCAGGCTCCCGGAGGCCGCCTGCCTGGCCCTGCTGTGACCAAGTGCGGTTCCGGGAGGCTACCGTCTCACACCTGTCCCCAGCCTCCTAACGAGGGTGACGGGGGGAGGGATTTGTGGTGCTTGGCAGAGGTGGGGGACGTGGTCAGCAGTGATGGCGCAAAGGTTAGGTCACCCCATCCAATGGGCTCTGTGGCTTCAGGCCTTTGTGCCTCTGCTCCAAGGCCTTGCGAGAGCCCTGCCCTCGCCCCCACAGACTCCACTGTCCTTGCTCCCTGCCCCCACCCCACCCCAAGGGCAGTCAGCAGGATTGCTTGTGTTCCCCGGGCCTGGCCGAGGAGGTCAGGGGACATGATCAACTTCGGGTTGTGCAGTGGGGCCCGTCAGCGCCTGTGAGGCTGTCCTCTAGCTGGGCTCGCCCTTGAGATGGGTGGGGCAGACCGAGCTGGGAGGAGCCAATGCCCTCCCCTGTGGGGCTGGGTGCGGGGGTGCCGCAGAGTTGACCCCCCCTCCTTGCAGACCTGAGCTGTCCTAGGAAGGTGTCCTGGACATATGGAGGTGGCGGGACCCCGAGATGATGTCACATGGGCTGGGGCAGAGAATTAGGGGGAGGGGCCCTTGTCTGAGGCTAGGGCTATGGGGTCCTGGGAAGGCAGGTCCCTGTCCCCATGCACAGGACCTGAGTCCTGCTGGCTCCTGGGTGAGGTGCAGCAGGGTTGGGCTGGCCAGAGCAGAAGGTCAGCGCACTCCTTCTTACGCAGGCATCCGGGCGTCGTGGGGTTGCTGCGGGCGGCCGGGGCCTCCCTGTCTGCCCAGGAGCTGGAGGAGGCAGGGACGGAGCTATGCAGGTCAGCTTGGCTGGAGCGCCTGTGCCTTCAGGGGTGTGGGGGACACAGCTTGGGGAAGGGAAGCCAGACCTGCTGGGAGGGACAAGTCACTCAGGGTGTGGGGGCTTCAGAGGAGAGGCCCGCTGACCTCCATGTGCACCGTCCTGGCTGACTGGAAGAGGGGTCTGCCCTGCAGCATGGCATGGGGCAGGGGAAGGGGCTGTTCCCAGGTGAGCAAACAGTCCAGCATGGGTGTGTGTGTGCATGTGTGTGCATGCGTGCATGTGTGCATGTGTGTGTGTATGTGTGTGCATGCGTGCATGTGTGCGTGTGCGTGTGTATGGGTGGCGGCCTTGAGGAGGGGTATGGGAATTAGTGGTCTGGTGTGAGGGGCTGGGCCGTGGGCTGGAGGGTGGCTGGGGCTGCATTTGGGGAGGTTGGGGCAGGTGGCGCACAGGGGAGCTGAGGCCCCTGGCAGGTGACAGGTCTTGTGAGCTCTGTTCTCCCCAGTGTGGTTCCTGTCCTGGGGTAAACTGACCTAGGCCCAGCCCCCACCTGCTGGCCTCATGGCACCGGTGGCCAATGTGCCTTCTGACCACGTGCTGCCTGAGTGACCACCGAGGCAGGCTCAGGGCTTCTGACGTCATGTGATTGTTGGGGAGACTGAGGCGCAGGGAGGCCCTTGGTGCGGGTGTTGGTTGTGGGGCTGAGTGGAGGTGGGCCAGTGCTGCAGGGAGCTCTGTGGCAGCCAGAGGCACTTCCCCTCCCCCACCTTATGCCTGGTGACTTGGTGCTGCCTCCTGTGCCCGGCCTGGGCTGCCTGAGGCCAGGATGGCTCCGAGGGACCCAAAGGGAGAGTCAGAGGCAGGAGGGGACCTGGGCCGGGTGCAGGTGGTGGCCGGGGTGGGGATGCTTTGAGTGTCGGGGTGTGTCCCTGGAAGTCCGAGTCCCAAGCTTGGGTAGTGGGTGCTGGCGGAGGCTCGGTGGACTGGCTGAGTGGGGAATGGGTGGGCCAGTGGCCCTGGCTCCTCCTCTGGGATGGGCCCACAACCCCTGGGCTTGCCTTTAAAGGGATGTCTGGGGTGACTTGGTCCAGATTTGCACTCTAGGCAGGTCTTGTTGGCGCCATTGACAGATGGGGAAACTGAGGCTGTAGTCAGGTCCTGTGGGAGCTGGGACCAGAACCCTGGTCCAGGACTCTGCTGGGAAGTGGGGCCTGGCCAGCTGCTGGGTGGACATGAGCCCCTCAGCCAGGCCTTCCTAGGGGCCAGTGTGTTTGTGGGGTTTGGCCTCTTGGGGTGAGTTCAGGAGGGGCCAGTGGGACCATCCAGAGAACTCACTGCGGGGCTGCCACTGTTTCCTGGGTTGGAGCAGAGCCCCTAAGGGCCCTCCAGAGGAGGGAGCAGCCCCTCCCTCGCCATGCCACTTCCCCCACTGCACACCAGGGGTGGGGCCCTCCCTGTGGGGTCACCACCTGGCCTGCTCCTGGCCTCCCCAGGTGGGGAGTGGGTTCTTCCCAGGAGGGTGGCAGGGTGAGGAGGAGCTGGTGAGGGCCTGGCTTGCCAATCCTGGGCAGCTGGGCCCAGACCCCTGTCCTAGCCAGGAACCCCATGCAGTCTGCTAGGGTCCAAGCCCAACCGCCATCCCAGGGCCCCCTGTGTCCCCCTCTCTCAACCACTGGGCTGCTTGAAGCAGCCAGTTTGTTCCTCCATGTGGACCCTGCCCCGGGAAAAATGGTGTTGTGAAACGTGAAACTAGCGTGGGGCGCTTGGCGGGTGGGTGTGCATGTGTGTGTGCACAGGCTCCTGTGTGTGCATGCATGCTGGTGTGTGTGCACGTGTTCAGGTGCGTTTGCGTTGTGTGCAGGTGCACACTGACGTGAGTCACAGTGCCACCCACTGGGTGACACCAGACTCCAGGCTTCCCATCGCCCCAGGACCAGGCCACTACTGGGTCAGCTGTCTGGGGCTGGCTTTGTAAGAGCATCCAGGGCGCCTGGGGGACAAGCAGGTGGGCAGATGGACAGGTGCCCAGCGGGCCCCAACAATTCCTCCTCTATCCCACCCCCAGGCTGGCATCCAGGGCTGACCTCAAAGGCCTGGAGGTGTGGTGGCAGGCAGGGGCTGACCTGGGGCAGCCGGGTTATGACGGGCACAGCGCCCTGCATGTCGTGAGTGCCCCTTCCCCCTGCACCCTCTCCAAAGGCTGCCACCTCCAGGAAGGACACCCAGACAATTCACCAGCTGCCCCTTTGCCCCATCCCCAAATGCCCAGCCCTCCCTGAGCAGGACCATGGGACGCCGTCCCCTTCTCAGAGCCCTGAGTGGTGGGGATGAAGGGGGTACAGGAGCCGCCGGGCCCTGTGTGCGTGGGCTGGGAGCAGGGAAGGGAGTCCTGGGGACGGGAATCCTTGGGCCAGCTGCTGGTCAGTGGCCCAAGGCAGGCCCTCCCCACTGCTTCCCCATAGGCGGAGGCAGCTGGAAACCTGGCGGTGGTGGCCTTTCTACAGAGTCTGGAGGGTGCGGTCAGTGCCCAGGCCCCAGGCCCGGTAAGTCCCTACCCAGGCGGGGCTGACACCCCACAGCCAGCTTCTAGTATGTGTGGCTGGATCCTGGCTCAGGGGCGTATCCAAGGGGGACAGAGCCGGGAGGCTGAGATGGATCCCAGCCAGTGTAGGGTCTGCAGAGCCCCTCCTGGGGGTGTCTGGGGCAGAACACGGTTTAGAGGGAGGGCTTCCTGAAGAAACTGACCAGACCTGAGCACAGAGGGCCCAGCCAGGGCTCAGCATCCTCTCACCCACCCGTGCCCCTGTGCCCTGCCCCACTGGGCCGCTGAGGCTGGGTGCTTCCACCTGCCTCCCAGGCCAGTTCCCAGCTGACACCCCCATTCCCACTCGGTCGCACGGCCCTCCCACAGTCTCATGCTGGGTTTGCTCTGGCTCTTGGGCCGTGCTGCACAGACCGCATGCCCAGGCTTGTCTCTCTGCCCTGACTTCGCACACTACTTGGGCCTCCACATGTTATAAGGAGCCCTCATGTTTTCAGGAAGTGCTGCCTGGTGTCTAACCTGAAGCTCTCCTGCTGCAGTGTAAGCCATCCCTTCCTCCTGTGACCTGCTGGAGGGTCTCAGGCATGACCCCCTGCTGGGGCTGCTTTCCAGCCCATTCTCAGGCAAAGCCTGAAGGCCTTTGTTGGGCAGAATGGCAATAAAGTCTCTGGGCATCTCCTCTCCAGGTCCCCAGAGCCTGGTTCTGAGTGGGTCTGTCTGGGTCTGGACTGTGGCTGTGTGTGGAGGCAGGCCCGGGCTCTGTGGGGGTGAGGGAGGCACTTGGCCCATCCTTCCCGAGGCAGCTGTGAGTGTGAGCCGGGTGGGGCAGTGCTCACGGAGGTGACTTGGCCAAGCAGCCAAACCGGCCTTCCTTTCCCAGCCTCTCCCCTCCCCCTTCCTGCCGCCCTGCCTTTGTTCAGGCCGGCCCTTCCTCCAGACACCCTCTGCTCATCTCCTCACCTCCTGCGCCTTCTTTCTGGAGCTTGAAGTCACCTCCTCCAGGCAGCCCTCCAGCCCCTGGACAAGCACGCTGCTTCTGCTTAGCTCTAGTCCTCACAGCCCCATCTTAGTTGCTGTCTGGTTTTCTGTCACCCCAGCTTTGCTGCACCTGGCCCCCATCTCAGGGCAGGGCTACACCAGGGCTCCAAGCGCTGCAGAAGCCCGTGAATGTCAAGGGGGCCCCTCAGGACCCTTCCAGCCCCTGCTCTGCCTGAAGCTCCTGACAACCTCAGCCATGAGCCAGGCCACTCTGCAAGGGAAGGGGTGACCTGGGCCGGCCTGTTGGCACAGCCTGGGCAGGTGGGTGCATGGAGTGGTCCCTGCTGCTGCCCAGTTGGGGTGCTGTGGGGCGGCCTCGTGCCTTCTTTCAGCTGGGGCTGAAATTGGGGTGTGGACCCCTGGCTCCTGCCATGTGTGCATGCATGGGCCTGGGATGGTCAGGGACTCCTGCTGCCACCCCCAGCCCCTGACCCCTTCTTGCTGGTGTGAGGAGCCTGGGAGCTGCCTCCCGCCAGGCCTCTCTACCTGCCCAGGGGACAGTTTCTGTCTGTCCCTCTGGCTGGTCCCTGGACTGGAGGCCCAGGAGGGCAAAAGTGAGACCCCAGAGTTGGCCCTTGGCAGCCAGGCACACCCCGGGCTCCTCAGCCTGGTTCCCAAGCCTGGCTGGCACTGCCGTCTGCATCTTTGCTGTCCTCACCCCGACACGGGTGTGCCTGGGCCTTGCACAACAAGGTGACGCCACGAGAGCATGGCATGGCAGGGCTGCGGAGGCCCTCGCTCCACACCTTGGTGAGGCCCGTGGGGGCTGCAGGGGGAGGGAGGGTGGTACAGCGCCCGAGAGCCAGGAGCCTCGGAGGGCCTTTCGGGAGGCAGCGGGACAGCTGGACAAAACACCTGGGGCAGGTGGGGACTGGGGAGACCACCTCAACATCCCTGGGCTGAGCCCACCTGATTGGCTTGGTCCCGAGGGCTGGGCAGAGCCTGTCACTCACACTGCCCCACTCAGCGCTGTTCCAGGCCCTGGGAGCCCCAGGTTGTGAAAGCTTCAGGTGGCTCACGGTAGCCCACATGGCAGTACCCTCCCAGAGCAGGTGCCAACCTGCCAGTGTAGACACAGCCGCTGATGCCTGGGGTGAGTGTCCTGCAGTGTGGAAAGTGCCACTCAGCCTGCGTGTCCCGCAGGGAGCACTTACCAAGCTGGTCTTTCTCCAACTGGGTCACTGACGGAGTTTGGCAGAGATGGCGTGAGGACCACAGAGGTGGGGAGGGGCTGGGCAGATGGGGAGTGCTCCTCACAGGGCTGGAGGGGGAGGCCACACCTGCATTTTCAGACCCTCCGAAGCCTCGTGGGGTGCAGGGCCCTACCACAGGGAGCCCAGGACTGGCCAGTGTCTCAGGAGGCTATGAAGAGTCATAGGCTTGAGTCTGGGAGCTTCCTTGGGGGCTGTTTGTGGCCCTTGGGGAGAGGTCAGAGGGTCCCTGGGTAAGGGGACTCCTCTACAATCACCCAGAAGTGGCAGGGGGTGCAGGCCCGCTGTTCAGGGCTCCCTGGGCTCTTCAAGGGACAGTGACTTGGCCCCGAGGCCTCTGGATCTCTGGTTTACAGCGGGACAGACAGGCTTGGAGCGTGGTGTCCTGCCCCATGTTGGTGTGTTTCGTCCCCACTGTGCGCCTTGGAGGGCACTGGGTCCTTGCCTCTCCTACTTCATGGCCGAGGAAGCTAAGGCGCAGAGTGGCCCCGTCCTGTGCCCAGGGCTCTGTGTTGGCACAGGGCAGAGCAGCGCTGTGAATCAGGGCCCCCTCGACTCTTGCTGTGGCATGAGGCCATGGGAGACGCAGGAACGAGGCACAGCTGGGTGCCTGGTGCGCGTGGGACCCACCTCCCCACAGCGGGGCGGTGTTGCTCACACCTGGTAATTTCATGCTGGGGGAGGCCTTGCTTCCTACAGCCCACCACAAATCACCTGGATCTCAGGGCTATCCCTGGGAAGCATCTCTCCATCATGTCTACTGTCGTTCTAATCAGCATTTTCTATCCTAAAATCAGACTCCTTAGTTGAGGGCCCTCCAGGGCCGCGCCTCCCCTGCTGGAGGTAACCAGACTTCTCATGCATGCGAGGAAGTTCCTCTTCTGGTGACACACCAGTGTTTCCTGCGGCTGGTGGGGACTGAAGGTGCTGGTGCTTGTCAGCTTCTCTCTGTCTTCTCTCAGTGCCCTTGGATGCTGGGCACGGAAGCCATGTTTGCTGCGCAAGGCAAGCCCACCCAGGTGGCTGCGTGTCAGGAGTCTGCCAGGACTGGACTAGACCGGGGCTTAGAATTAAGAATAGGAGAGGTGGCCGGGCACGCCTGTAATCCCAGCACTTTGGGAGGGAAGCTGAGGGAGGTGGACGGCTTGAGCTCAGGAGTTTGAGAACAGCCACCATGGCGAAACCCTGTCTGTAAAAAATAAATTCAAAAATTAGCCAGGTGTGGTGGTTTTTTTCTGTGGTTCCAGCTACCTAGAGGCTGAGGTGGGAGAATCGCTTGAACCCGGGAGATGGAGGTTGTGGTGAGCCATGATTGCACCACCGCACTCCAGCCTGGGTGACAGGAGAGCTGGGCTCTTCCTGCCCCTGCAGCTGTGGAGGGGGAGGAGCTCCCAAGCTCCTGTTCTGGATCTCAAGCCCCGGTGTCCCTACTTCTACCCGCACCGCCATGCCGCAGCCGCTTGGATGCCACTCACAGGCCCTGAGACCCACAGATGCAGCAATGCCAAGGCCTATTGTCCCCTCTCTACCACCAAGAGCTGTGGAATCCCCAGAAGTCACTGTCCCTCCCTGGGCCTCAGTTTCCCCAACTGCAAAATGGAAATAACAAAACCTTTCTGATTCCCTTTCCAGGGCGGCTGCCATAGTTAAGCCACACACAGCACGTGTGGAAGTGTCTAGGGGTCCCTCAGGTCTGGTGCTGTGTTCTGGTCTGGGTCGACCTTGGCCCCTGAGCACAGAGGCCGCTGGGCTTCTGGCTGGGCGGCGGTGGGATGGCGTGTCACAGCCCTGCTGCCCAGGACTGCACAGGCACAGCAGTGGCTCCAGACTTGGCACAAGTGCTTAAGCGGGTCACCTCCCCCTCCTTCTCTGTACTTCGAGAGCCGGAGCCCTCCCCTCAACTGCTGTGTTCTGCTGAAACAGAGTCCCTGGGAGGCGCCACTGGTCAGGCCGGGACACCTCCAGGTGACTAAGTGGGCAGGGCCGGCAGGGCCAGCTGCGCCAGGGCGTTCGTTCGGGGCTGGGCTGTGTGTCGGGGTAGCAAGGCGCAGGCTCCTGATGCGTGAGGGGGCAGGGCGCCCCTCCCCCCCCGCGTGGGAAATGAGGAGGCAGGTACCGGGCTCCCCCCCACCCCGTGAGCTGCCGCGTTGGGGTTCAGGGTCTGAGAAGCAGAAACCTGCTGGACGGTCCCCTCCCTCCCTCCTCCAGTTTCACTTTCTCTTTCCCCCTCCCACGAAGTTCCCTTTGAAGTGAGAGGGGCCGCGGTGGGTGTGTCCAGCCGCCCCCACACCCAGAGGGGCAGGCCCAGCCCTGGGCTCCCGTCTGGCCTGGTCCTCACCTGCCCGGGCCGCCCTGGGCCCCGACGCAGCTTAGGTGGAGCCCCGGACCCTCCATGCGCCCAAGCGCCCCAGGCCCAGACCAGACGGTGCGCGCGCTTCCCGGCGGGGACCCAGACCCCAGGAGGCCAGGTGCGCCCAGGCCAGGCGCTGGAGGCGAGGGCGCCGGGCGGGCGGGGCGGCTGCTGAGTCAGGGCCACCCCCGCGCGGGCGCGCGGAGCAGGTCCCGACCGTGGAGGATCTGTCGCGGGACCTGCGGGCCCGGAGCCGCCCCTCCCGGAAAAACCGGTCGGGCCAGCGCGGCGCGGGCGCATTCCGGCGCCGGGAAGGGCTGCCGCGCGGCATAAAAAGGCGCCGCTGCGCTGGCGGCTGCCGCTTGGAGCGCAGCCGCCTGCCACGCGGGGCAGGCGGGACGAGGGGACGTCGGGGCCGGCGAGGACGCGGCGGGGCTGGACTCTGCGGCCGGGATCCCCTGTTGCGCCTGGCCGGGGCGTTTGAGGCGCCAGGGGCGGCGTCGGGGCCGGGCGGCTGCAGCAGGGCCGGGGGCGCTCGGCCGGCTGGGATCCGGGCGCAGGGGCGGGTCCCCCGGGGTCCGCGGGCGGTCCCAAGGGCGTCGGGGCTCTTCTCTCCGCAGCTCGGCAAACTGACGGTGTCGCGGACTTGCGCGCTGGGTCCAGTGGTTCTTAACAGTTCAACAGTTCTGTGGCGCAATTGTGAAATGTTTAGGACCACTAGACCCGGCGGGCCCGGCGACGGCGACAGCGACGCAGCGTCCCGCGCGCGGCCTGGAGTCAGTCACAGCCGAGGGCGCGCCGGCGACCAACCCAGGGGAGCCCACGGGCCGGCTCCGCGCTCCACACCGGCAGCTCCAAGCGCCGCACCGCGCAGCCCCCGGGCCCTGGCGGTCCCCGCCTGCTGCCCGGGTAGACCCTC